TTTACAAAACTAAACACTTTTCCAACATTACTCAAAAACCAATTCATTCAATATCACTTAGCTCAAGACACAACTTAAGCCGTTGGAAACTCAATGACCAAAATCACATTTTCACCAATCGGGACATAACCCAAAGATACTCAATCATAATAATCTCGAAAAAAAGCATAACCATAATTCAACATTTCAAAATATATGCTGCCAGCATGCTACATAGATGCAGAAATAAAAGAACTGAAAAGTTGGAGCCCCCTTCATATATGCTATTAGGTATATTTGTAGGCGTATTAATTAATTGCAATGCTTGTCTATATCAAAGTTGAATGCTACTTGATTCCAGCACAAACTACAATTTGGTCCAGCATTCATTCAGAGTTTAGGTATCAGTTATCAATTGAATTTCTTAATCATATAGAGAGCTCATTAGAGAACTGTTCTTAGCACATTAATCTGCCAAGAGAAAAAATTAACAATAAAAAATTAAAATCCTTACTTTATAATGAACCTTGGGTTATAGTTGGTGAGGAAGACAAGTAGTTAATGGATGGGGTTGGATTTGGTAAGTAGGTACACTTTAACAGGTCAGTTGCCCTTGTGCTGTGGGTCCTTTAATCCTATTTTCAACTTGACCTATACATTCAGACACCTTGTACCATTAGCCTAACCGTAAACTCAACCACTAAAGTCATGAAAATCTAAATTATGTGAATAGATGTAATTGCCCCAATTGTATGGTACAGGCTCGGTTCAGGTCTCGAAACACTGGTCTCAACACAAAACAAAGAAAAAGAAAAATCCAAAGGAACTTTTGTAACTTCATTCACAATTTCCCCAGAAAATTAAACGGAAGTTTTCTCCTCATTAGTCCCCAAATCACTCACTACTAATCGTAGAGATTCTTGAATAAAGAAGAAAAAGAAAGGAAAAGAAGATTGACATAACAGATCACAGATCATCGTACTAAACATCATCCAGTATCCCAAAAAATCACAAAAGGAACATCACAATATGAGAAGAAAACATGAAAACATCACAGGATCAAATTTTGTATTTAATAACTATATTCATGTACAAAAAGAACAGTTGAAACAATTTCGTACTTTATGTGGTTGACTAGATTATTTTCAATGTAGCTATGAGAGGAAAAAAGTAGCTACAAACCAAGCATCTACATCCTCGCTTAATAGTAAAGAGACC